AGATCCAGAGGGCCTGGAGTAAGGTAGAATCTCCAGTGAGCAGTATTCAATCTGACTAGGTGGGGCTGATGCAATGAAATGCAGACAGGTCTCTTGTGATACAATAGTGAGTAATTGTTATCAGGACTGATTGCGAGGGTTGGAAATGTAAAGGTAGACGTTTTATAGCAAGGAGGGGAGTGATTAACTTTTCAGTCTAGGAGCGGAGGTTCGTAGGACCATCAGGGGAGAAGAGCAGAGAGCGGGACCCTACCCAGAGAAGCACTGATACCTGAGATGGAGGCAAAGGTGATGACATGGAGCGATGGGAGAGGGAGAGGGACTGTGTGCTGAAGACTGGGGAGTGGGGGGCTTGCAGGGTATGCCCTTTGGTTGGTTGATGATGCATGGAGGGGATTGTAACCATGGCAATGAGACGATATACGATAGAATGAATGTAAAACTAATGTTCGCCCATGTAAACTATCACATAATTCACAATAAAACATTAAAAAACATTAAAAAACAACAACAACAACAAAAACCACAAGTAAGTATCTTTCTGGTAGTCTCTTCTTTCAACAAAGATCCATCTGACATTAGAAATGATAACCCTAGGTCCATGATGTCTTCTGAATCCAGCTTAAATTTCTGGCAATTTGTTGTTGATATGCTGTTGCAACCGTTTTTACATTATCTTCACAATTTCACCTGCATGCACAATGACCTTGTGATAATCATTGGCTATTATTGTTCAAAGATTTCTGCATATCACTGGGGCACCACTCTTTGGAATATGCACAAGTACAGATCATTTCTTCTAAGCATTTGGCCAGGTAGCTGTCTTCCAAATTTCTTGGCATATGTGAATGAGTGTCTTCAGTGCTGCATTAGTTTGTTGAAAGATTTCAATTTGTATCCTATCAATTCCTGGAGGCTTGTTTTTCACCAATGCCTTACTGTGTATACTACATATACACAGCTTGGACTTCTTCCTTCAGGACCATTATATGCTACCTCCTGAAATGGGTGATATTGACATTTTCTTTTTAGTACAGTGACTCTGTGTATTCCTTCCATCCTTTTATTTTTTTTTAATGTTTTATTGTGAATTATGTGATAGTTTACATGGGAGAACATTAGCTTTACACTCATCCTATTGTACATCCTTTCATTGCCATGGTTACAATCTCCTCCATGCATCATCAACCAACCAAAGAGTATGCCCTGCAAGCCTGCCACAGCCCCTCTCCCTCTCTGGGTCTAGAGTCCCTAGCCGTTCCATCTCTCCACATTATCATCTCTGTCTCCTTCTCTGGGAACGGGAGCTCTCCGCTCTTCTCCCTTGATGGACCTCCGCTCCTAGACTGCAAAGTGAATCACTCCCCTCCTTTTGCTACAAAACATCTACATTTACATTTCCAACACTCACAATCAGTCCTGATAACAATTATTCACTATTGTATCACAAGAGACCTATCCCAATCTCCTTTCATCAGCCCCATCCAGACAGATTGGATACAACTCAGTGGAGATTCTACCTTTCTCCACACCCTCTGGATCTAGGATCCCTCTTGAAAGCTTGTAAACCAGTCACTTCTTGCCTTTGTAGCACCCCTCCCCCTCCCCCCATTTTGGGTAGCCAATGTCCAAGTTGCCTATCCCTGTCTACTCTGTGTATGGAGGGGGTGGGAATGATCTCGCTGTAAAGATGTGTTCCCTCTTTTAAGCTACTTTATCAATAGGTATAAGTCAAGTACATCACATTGTACCAGATTACTCTTTTTCCCTCTTCTTTCTTCTTCTAGTTGAGCTCTGATCATCCAGTCATTGAAGCCTGGTCAAGTGGGTATTATCTGCAAGTGTGGGTGTTCTTATGCATATGCTCCTTCTTCTTTATCAGCTGGACGCTTCACTCTCCACTCTAGTCCTCTATGGTTATGTCACTGACTCTGGGCCCAAGAGTCCCCAGGTCTTGCCACACTGCTGGCCAACTAGGTCTCCACCTGGGTTCACAAGAGTCTATTGAACGTTGTAGGGCTCAGCTCTCAGCTTCACTGCTGTTTTTCTCTCACTTCCCCTTATCGGTGACTAACGTGATCACCAGGCAGAGCCCATGTCTGCTTGTGTATTCCCATTAAGTCTTAGTCTTGGAAGGGGGTTTGCCCTGAGGGGACTTGACCACTTGCTTGTTCATGTAGTAATCAGTTGGACTGCCATTATTGTTTTGTATTTTCCCTGTCGGTCTTGCTTTCAAGAAGTATCTTCTGTTCTTCTAGCCATTCCAGGCTGGTCTGCTTATCCTTTAAAGTGAAAATTTCCCACCTGAGAAGATTCTGGATGCGGTTCAGGATTCCACCTATGGTCTTATATAATGTTGAGGCTCCGCAGGAAGCATCTTTCACTGGGCATGTTGCAGCCACATTTTAGGTATTCCAATCAGTTACGGCAAAAGACAGACTTACAAGCTTTCTATGGTGATATTTCTGGCTATTCCTTTTCTTCCTTCT